GTCCCCTTGATGTGCTTCTATAAATTTCTAAAGTTTGTAAGCACTATCAAAATGAACAAACTTGTTAGATATAGATGAATTAAAAACATTTAGCAAATATTCTAACAAAATATTATTCATTGTAAATATACGATGATCATTCTTATTCCACTTGGATTTCTCCAAGTGGGCACAATATAAGCATCATCTATAATTTTCCATAAATCAAAATGTTTAGATTAAACAAAAAGTTTAAATCTAACACACCATTGAGCATAGGGGAAATTATCTAATCTAGGAGTAATATTAATGGCATAACCTAAACCATGCATATCCATAATATAAAAGGCAAGCAAGATACAAATAAAGTTCAAAATTAGATTAGCACAATAAGCTAACTTGGATATTTAACTCAAGGCGATTAGACCTTAAATCAAAGAGCACCAAGCTCTGATACCAATTGTTTAACCCTAGAAGGGGGGTGATTAGGGTCTTATGCTAATCTAATCTGATTATATGCCAATAAAAATTAATTAATGAGTTATCCTAGTAAGTATGAAATACAACAAGTTATATGAGGTAGGATAGGCAATATGAACAACAAGATATATCCTAACAAAGAGATATAGGCAATGCATGTGCAAGGATATAAAACTAACATAAGGTGATATATCCTACCAAAGAGATATACAATATGATATATGTAAGGATATGCAAAAACAAGGGTAACATAAATAAATGAAATAGTGGATGAAATAAACAATGAGAGAAAGGCTATAAAGATGAACAAATATAAGTGCTAATAGCGCAAACTCAAACAAGCAATGATGATCATGGAGTTCGGGACCTTCCGTCCTACGTCTGCCCGCTCCCAGCACCTCGCCGGTGTAGAAATCCACTATCACAACCGGAGTTTTCTAACGTTGCACTCGATGCCGAATAACGTTTACCACTTCACAGTGTCGGTTTTTTTCAACGCTCACACGATCAACTTATACAATCACTCACATGTCAGTTTTCCACAGTCACCGATCAACGTTCACTCCTCATTCGTTTTCTAGTTCACCCGAAAACTTCACACAACACACTATGTAAAACAAAATATAAATTTGTTCTCTGTAGCTAATAGATGAAGAATCAATTAAGCAGGCAAACTTAATGTTTACAATCTCTCACAACCCTAATATTACTTATATATCAAATACAATAAGGCTCAAGTGGGTGTGTATTAACATGAGATAAAGTGCAAATCTAAACTCATTATAAAACTAGCTTAATAGAAATGATAATTAACAAGATAATTAATAAATAAATATCTAGATAGAGTTAGAACTTCTCAATAGATGACAAGATGGGAGTGGAGATTGAAGCCCAAACAAGAAGATGATGCTCCTGCCACTTGTAAAAAGCAATGCTTCAACGCAAACCAACACTAAAAGACACTTAAACCAATTACTTGGAAGACTAATGGCAATATATATTGAGAATCCGCAGATGATTGGAGTCTCACACCATTACTTGGTTGAGTTTTTCAAATTAGTCGCATGCCTGCTAGCATAGGCTAGAGGATAAAGAAATGTAAAGAATTAATACATAATAAGGAGAAAATTAATGGGTCCAACAGCATGAAAGTTATGATATGGCATAAAACGTACAAGGGGGCCATACGAGTCGCCCTAGCTAAGAGACATACCACTTGTGCAAATCAGAGCAGCTGCATGATAAGTTTGTGTATAAAGAAAACATGCTTGCAGTAATGCCTATTGAAAGACGTCATGTATATGTATGCATTTGTGTCATATGAGCGGCATTCCGCTAGGCTGGTTTCAGATAACGCGATTGCAAGAAGTGTTGAAGGATAAATAGAAGGCTATAAAGTAATATCATCTGCTCATGAGAATCATTTCTAAGTAAAGATTCGATGTCAATTGTAACAAGGTTTCACTATCGACTCAATCTCAAACAACAAATAATAAAGAAGGGAGGTTGCATCTGTAAACCATAAACAGCGTTTAATTTGAAAGAAAACACCTTTAGCCTCTTCCTCAAAGTAAAATAGTTTAAGTATTTCAAAAAAGAAGTATAATTGTTTAGAAGAAACTTACGTCAAGGATTTCCCCTTGAAATATTGGAGGAGGCCACTGCTGGCGAAGATGACAAAGACAATGTGGAAGCTGAAAGTAGATAAAAATGACAATTCAAATTGACCTTAAGCGAAGAAGCCAACTTTTTAATATTCAGAGCTTCAAAATTTTTAGCCATATAAAACAGAAAAAAAGCCATCCTAAACTTTTCAAAGCACTTTCCGTCCTAAACATAGTGTTGCAAATGCATGTCAATTAATAGCCTCAAATTCTAGTTGCTGAACTGGTCCAAATACATGAAATAATGACTCAAAGAAGTGTATATTCTGTGAATAATACCTCATGGCTCGATAAAGAGGTCTATACCACAAAACATAAGCCCCAGGAACACCCGAGATAAAATAGATAATTGCAAGAAACCAGATCTTCACACCTAAATAAAAAACCAACATTCTTTAGTAGGAAGATGATCATTAAGGCTAACCAGCAGCTAAATCACAGCTCAACGTACAGAGAGTAACCAAAAAACACACCTTCTCCTTTGATCCAAGCTGCAGTAACTGATATGATATTCCAAAATAGGCACAAAAATAACCCTGTGAAACAACCAAAGGCTTTTAGAATTGAGCATGCTTTGATCAGTCTTCCACAAAATATGATGTCCAGACCAAAATAAATAAATTAATAATAATAATAATAATAATAATAATAATAATAATAATAATAATAGTAAAAAATAAATAACAGAAAGAAGAGGTGGACCAGTAGTGATTTACAAGTGAGTCGGTAGGAAAAAGAAAATCCAAACTACACCTTTCAACAAGTTCTGTATACCCAGAACAACCAAAGCACTACTCTAAAATATCCCCAATATAGCCAGTATATCCGGCTGTTACAACGCTTGCCGCAAAACGATATGATCTCAATATCGTTTACCACTTATTGGCAATTTTTGGGAGATACATCCCCGACATGGCCAATATGTTAGCCGATATGTAGACCAATATGTCCTTTTACATAGCGTATCGCTAAATAACAAAGTTCTATAAAATATCTTTAACGTTTTTTAGCAAAATTCCAGCCCTATGATGTTTCCTAGCAAGGTCTATCATGATCTTTTCCCTAAGTTTCTATAATTAGTTAATGATCCCAAACATCTATTACTTACATATTTGTATGCTTAGATTCAAGGTCACAGAAAGCTTAGGCAGGCTAGGCGGAGGCTTTTTAAAATATTGCTTAGATTTAATTAAATATATTTGGATTCCATCTAGTGATATTGTATTATATATCATTCGATACAGCGCTTCAATATTTACTACATAGCCGCGATATTTTCTTGATATTCGCATTCTGATATGGATTTTGGCCATCCGATATTTCCCTGGTATTCTATGTTGCAAGGACAAGGGTGCAGACACGGGCGGACACAGATAAGGGTGCGAGTACAGGACACGACAAAATTACAAATTTTTGGATATAAAGACAAGATTATATACATATTAAACTTAATAATCTATAAGAGAGTGATATTGTTTTTTATTCACATGTTACGAGAACTAAAATCCTTATACCTTTCAAATTTCTTTTATTGAGTAGATTATAAATTGAAAAACAGCTCGTTTTTTAACTAGAAACTCAGACAACCCTTTAAAATCATACTTATGAACTAGGCATGTGCTAAAATAAACTTGTCCTGAGTCTAATGAGTTGCATACTTTTGAGATTAAGTGTACGATAATATGTTCAAGAAAGTGTATCACGAGTTTTTATTTTTAAACTAAAACATGTGTTATATATCGAGTACACATCTCAATAATGTATATATGTATTCAAGAAGTGTCCAAGGAGTGTCCGACATGAACACGGGAAGTGTCGGACACAAATAGGACAACCTAGATGAAGCGTCCAGGTAACCTAAGCCAATATTTAAAACCTTGAATCCAAGAAATGTAAATTCTAGGTACCGATTAACTAAAAATCAAACTCCTCAAATAGAAAGCATTTATCTATTGACTATCTCCCCCAAGTGGTACTAACTTTAAAACTCCGAAAATATAGAACAAAAAAAAAATCAGAAGGGAAATATTGGTAGCCTGCATAACCAAGAGTAAAAGGTAAATTTTGAAATTTAATACTAAACAACTGCAAGGAATTCAACTCGAAAATTTAAACACTGTGGTACCTATCCAAGAACAAGGAAAAAATTAGACATACAAAGATAATCATTAAACTAAAAAGTTTGTGCTACTGACGTACAAAATGGTATGGGACAAGAACTAGAAAAGGAACTTTGATAAGTCAATTTATCAGTTTATGCTTCAAAAGCACAAAGGGATGACATAACACTAAATGAATCCTAACCAGATAAAACAATGCTAAAATAAACAATAACAAGATTATATAAATCCGGGAATAAAGTTCAATCAAATGTGATATCTGAAATTTAGTAATGAAAGAGAAGATTATTATCGTGGTTTTAAAGAATTCTAATGTCACATAAACATTGCTAGTTTGAGCTATCAATTCGGTAAACCTTTGAGCTACAGTTAAAATTGGACTATAAAAGCCTAACAAAAAGCAGAATTGCTTAATAAAACAAAGGAAAAATGTATTGCTGTTCAGTGAAAAAGAAAAATCTTTCAAGTTAGCAGTAAGCATACCTAACAATGACGCAAATGCAAAATACTGCAACCTTTGAAGGTGGATTGGAATTTCATTTGCAATATCATGATGAATAATGGGGAAAAATGGTGGCCAATTTTTCTCCTCTATAACGATTCCAGCTGCAAAAGCACATGAAGTAAATTCTCTTTCAGGTAGCTGAGAAAGGAATCTACTTAAGCTTCTGAAAATGAAATATGATTGATTGTAGCAGAATCAAGATAATGGATTGCTAATCTGTTTGAACTGATAAGTTAGAAATGAAAACATACCACGAGATGCAGCTTCTTCTCTTCGTTTTAGTTCCTATATGATAGTAATAAAAAAATCAGTGGTAAGCAGTAAACTAGTAACAAAGTTTTCCCAGTGAAAATGGATGAAAGCTCAACTTTATGCAGAAATGAACTCAATAAGCACAAAATTATGTTTCTTTTAAATTAAAGAAAAACACCTTTAAGTGACCTCTACAGGTAGAAAAACAAATTATGATACACAACTAGATCATTTCACAGTAATCCTTCAAATTGAATAGAGAAAAGAAAGAAAATGCACATTCCATATTCATCATTCATCAGCATCATGCAAACATTTTCCCATCAAACGGGCTCACTAATACAACATGACTGAAGACAGAGGCACTCTGCCCTCTGTTGCTAACAAAGTTGAATTAACAATACATGAGTATTTTCACTAGTACTTAACATAGATTAAAAGGTCAATATTAAGTGAAGCTTTTAACAATATATGGGTCAGCTTGTGTACACCACTCCAAATATACCATACAAAACTGAAATTTACCAACATACAATGAGAAGTCTGTACAAGGAGGGTACTGTAGTATATAGGAAAGTGATTCATATTTGAGGCACAAATATAGCCAAAGAGCCTACCAGATCACATAAAAAATGCTCTTTTTTCTATTGCAAACAGAATTGAATTAATGACACATGCATTCCATTAGTATTTAGCATAAATGGAGACAATAAATATCATGTGAAGTTTTTACCAGTATGAGTCAGATTATGTAAATCACACCTAATGTATTATACAATTCAATTATATAATTTACATTGCTAAATAAACTGAATTACAGTACATGTGCAACTCCACTAGCATTTAACATGAATAGGAAGGGGAAAAAACAATTAGTAACTGAAGCATTTCAGTCAGCTTGTGTACATATCCCCAGAGATACTATAGGAAACTGAAAATATAACCAATATCTAACTATTATTTTCAAAGTTAGTAGATGAAACACAATATCATGGTACATTTTTTAGAGGGGAAAACATGATCGTGTGAAGTTGCACACGGCTAGAATTAGCCATGATCGATGCTAGGTTGCATCAATAGAGTATCACAGAAGTATAATAGGATTAATTGATCATCTATGGAAGATATCATGTTCAATAGTTAGGAATTACTACATATAACATTTGATGTCGCAATAGGGATGAAGATTCATGCAAGATAACTATGTACCAAAACTATGTACATAATAAGTTACCACCTTTGCAACACTAACATTTAGTGCAGCAATCAGGGCTGGAGATCCATTTGGGATGACTATTTATCAAACAATGAATATAATTGGCAATAAGAATTAACTGTACCTTTTCTCTCTTGTTTAATTCTGCCTCCTTTGCTTGGAGTTCCTTTTCCTTTTTCTTTATATCCTACGTAAAATATAGAAAAAAAATTCAAGATTTCATAGAGGATTACCCATCTACAAGAAAGAAACAAGATAGGTGTTTAAGAACCAATATAATTAATTGAACATTATTATCAATCAAATATTGTCCAACTATGACTCTCAACATCAAGGAACTACCTCTATCCATATCAATTTGATTGATTAACAATTTAATATAGTTAACCTACCCTTGATGAATCAAGAGGAATATCTATTGTCGCTCCCCGATCATTGTAAAAGTCAGCAGGTTCAGGAGGAAGAGGTGATAGCCTTGAATTTGAAGCAGGAGGAACACTGCCAGGGTTCTGTTAATGCACAAATAGTAAGAACTTATCAAAAGGAAGATAGCACTAAATAAGCAATTTGGCAACAACTTAGCCAAGTGCACTGCACCAGTTAATACTAGAACTCTAACATTGTGGAATAGCTTAAAAGAACATTTACAGTGCCCATAAACAAAGAAAATAAGAATTCAATAGTTTCAAGCAGGTCCATGAAACATTTCCAAAAAAATTATTCATTACTACTGAAATTTCCCTGAAGATCTTAGCAAAGCTCAGGGAACCAAAAAACATATTCCTTTCTAATTTAAAAGTCTAATAAGTTGTTGGATGCTTACACCTAGCAAAGCTCATGGCGAACATATCCCATGTATCAATACTACCAGAGAAGTTCGAAAAGGAATACTTAGATATTGTGGTTAGGGGGGGGGGAGAAATTTACTATATCAGAACCAAGTTTCAAGCATATCAAGTGCCAAATCCAAAAGGCTTACTGTTGTGTAGAATGCACCTCCACCGTAACTTGCTTGCCCACCAGCTTTTCCACGAGCTGCCTGATCCTGAGATGTAATACAAATGGATTAAGTTTTCTGGACGGACATCCACTAAATCTACCAAACTAAAACAGATGCTAAACTTATAACATGAGGGACATAAAAGGGAGAGCTCAGAAGTCAGAAACAAGGTTTCGAAGATTAAATTTATAAAGTGAAGGAACCAAAATTGTCAAAGTGTTTCTAAGGGTTAAGCTCTTTTCACGGTGAATTTGACCCTTCTTAAACTCAAACCTCAGAAGATGGATGTTGCTGGTAAACAACACCGCATCATCTTCGTAGTACATCTCCGCTGCCAATTCGAACTGCTCAATGGACCGAAATCATTCATTCAAATTCTGGAACAGCTCGGTCTACCCAACGCCACTTGTTGCGTCATTTCACAAACATCAAATCAAGGAAGCCAAAAGCAACAGCTTTGCAAGAGCACATGTTAATGCTCCGGTTTTCTCACGCAAACACCGACTCTATTTTGCCGCGACACTTGGGTTTATTTACTGAACCATCACAACTAAAATAAAAGACTCAAGTATAAACGATGTATCCGAAAGGTAAGAAACCATGCTCTGAGCATTAACCTTTTCGTCCAGAGCATGGAACAGTGAACCCTGCGATTTAGAACCACAGATCGCGGCATCAAATCTTTAAAAAGCCAGAAGACGACATGAAACTATTATAACCAAATCCCAGCATTTCCGGCTCTGTCGATTCGGTCAGAAACGTGAATCAACCTATTACGTCTAAATGGGATGGATTAGATCGGACAAGGGAACAAATGAATTCACTAACATCAGAAGTTCACATCCCCAGATCTGGCCAAAGACCGTCTAGGGTTTCGACTCCCCGACGATCCAGGGAGGGATCGGCGAACCCTCCCAAACCAGCAACACATCTACAATTTCCTCTTATGTTTCCTTTGCCAGCCAGATCCACTGAATAGACTAAGATTCTAATCGAAGAAATTAAGGAAAGCAAGAGAGGGGAACTGACCGCGAAGGGATTGACCTCCTCCTCATCGAACGGATTGCTATCGTAACGACCAGCCATGAGATCGACCCCTCCAAGATCGATCTCTCTTCGTCTCTACCTTTCTCTGACGATCACAGATCTGAGAACTCGGAGCAGGGCAGCAAGAGCTAGCCGAACGAGGGGGGTTTTAGTCTTGTGGATCACGGAGGTCGATAGATCGGAAAGAGAGATAAAAAAATAAATAAAGAGGGAGGCGATTTTTTCTTCGAGGAGAAGGAAGACTTCTTACTTTTTTTTTTCTTTTTTTCTTTTTTTTTTCCTCCCCTTCTTTCCTCGTTCAAAGAAGAGAGCTGAGGACAGAGTAGATAACCGCAGTATTTTCCTCGCCTTTCTTAATCCTTTTTTTTTTTAATCCCTTTTTAAAGCTCCTCGATCTAAACTATTTGATTAGTAAATAAGTAATAAAATAATTAATGAGGGTTAGTAGGAAAAGTAAAAAAATTTAGTTTTCTAACCAGTTACCCACGGATGCTCGCTAGGACAAAAGATGAAAGAAAAAACGAATTCATGTCTTTGTCAATGTTGAGAACGCGGATTGATGAGCTAACCAAGTTGTAAATCTTGAAGGATGATTCGTACAACGCTAGTATAGGTGGTTAAAAAGTCGTATTCATGTCTTTTTTTTAATAGTTAGTTTTTTTTTAAGCCTAATGTTGTATTTTCTTTTGGTGAACGTTTACTTTTCAAAGGGTTCACGTGTCCAATCTAGTCGATCATTTTATTTTACAAGGGAATGCGTGAATGCTATTTGGAAGATGAATACATCTCATACTTCCTCCATGTATGCTGCGTGCTTTAACCGTTATTTTTTTGAGCATAAATATAAATTACCTCAACAGGGATTTTAAATCCATGTCTTTCCCCTGGGGGTGAGCATTAATCGGTCCAAACCGATTAAGCTGATCGAACCGACTGAATTTGAATTTGAATTTTAATAGTTGGGTTTTGTTTTTAGAATATGCGTCGATCGGTTCGGTTTGAGAAAATTTAAATCTAAACTAACCAAACCAACGGCTATTTTAATTCTTGAAACCGTACTCTTTCTTTCTTTTCATTAGTCGACTAATTTCATTCTTTTCTCCTTAAAATGCTCATTATTTCAATTAATTTGCATCATGTTGTTAACGATATCTTAATACATATTTTTTTGTACCAATTTCGTAACATATGTCTTTCTTTTGGATCAAAATAGCTTTTTTGTTAACTAGTATAGTGCACGTGCGTTGCACGTAATTATTTTGTTCATGTTCTCAATATGTTTCATGGATAGAAAATGACGAAATTATATAATGCAAAAAATAAAGATCTAAAGTAAAAAATTAGGAAGAAATTTTGGTCATTCTAGAGTAAAATCATGCATACTAAGATAAAGATTAGCATAACTATTTTTATCGTTAGTTGTTATATTTCTCAACCTATCTAATCAAGGGCACAATATAGTATAAACATTCGTATGCTTCATAATCCGATGATTTAGGAAGTAGCAATATTAACATTCAAATTCAAAAAAGAATAGATAGTAGAAAGAATAAAAAGCTAAACTAACTTGAATTGTAACTTGTAAGAGAGAATAGAAGCTAAACTGTCTTCTATACATTAGAAATTCCATAATATAGAAGAAAATAATGAAAATTAGTTAATAGCTAAAAAATGAAAACATTTAATCGATTGACAAACATGAAGCTTAGTTGATCGATAACCTCACTAGAAATAAATTTTAAGAAAAGACCATTTCGATAGTTGTCCCTTAAATTTTTAATATTTTGAAACAGCCTCCCAAATCATTGATGTGTGGACGCGTGTGTTTTCACACGTTTTGTGGGGACCACGAGAAAATCTCGTGAAGAGAATATGTGAGATAACAACTCAGGCCCACCCGATTCAATAGGTATAAATAATAGCAAAAACCCCTAGGGTTGTGTGCGAAGGAGGGATTTTGCCGATTGTTTACAGAGCCTTGGCGGCTGTGCGTGCAAGGAAGGATTTTTGTTTTGTTCCTTTTTTTTGCGGCTGCGGAAGAGTGCAAGGCTGGGGTTTTCTTTTGGCGGCTGTAGCAGACACAGAGAACAAAAGGAGCAGTGCTTTTGGTGGCTATTCCCGGAGGAAAAGCAAGTCTTTTGTAGATGTTCTTTGTTTTTAGCATTCCCTTTTGTGAGAATATTTGTGTGAGGGATCTGAGAGTTTGTGAGAGGGTTTTATTTGTGAGATTGTAAACCCCAATTGTATCTCTCCCTCTAATAGTAGATCTCTCCCCCTCATTGCCCCGTGGACGTAGGCTATTTGCCGAACCACGTAAAATTTGTATTCTTGTCGTGATTTGTAATAGCTTGTAGGTTCCCTCGACGCGCAGTCCTAGAGCTGAAGAGAGGAAGAGCTGATATCTCACTTTGATGAGATATCTGGCTTTTGGTTCTTGTTTCCTTTGAGAAACGAGAATTTTATTGTGATCTAATCTCTTGTTGTGCACCTAGCACACCGGAGGTGCTGCCAAAATTTCTGTTGCGCACAACAAGTGATATCAGAGCTCCGGGTTGGACTTGGGAGCTTGTTTGAAGGATTCGCTGAAGGATTCCTATTTGAAGATTAGATCGACAATATGGGTGAAACAAGCACATCGGGATCGTCTCTTACAAAGACGATACATAGTTTGAGCATCAATAACATGAAGATTGATGTTCCGAAGTTCGACGGCAAGATTAATTTCAGATTGTGGAGGTGTCAGGTAATGGACGTTAAAAGAGAAACTTGCCGAGATGGAAGCTAAGGTTTGGAAGAAGATGAATAGTAGGGCGTGTGGAGTTATTCGGTCATGCTTGACGCCGGATCTTATTTATGACGTGATGAACGAGACGTCGGTGAAGAAGATGTGGGAAACACTCAATGAAAAGTATCTTACTAAGAGCATTGAGAATCGGCTTCACTTGAAGAAGAGGTTTTACCAGTTCAAGATGAAGAGAGGAGTTTCCATTAGGGAGCATGTTAACAACTTCACAAAGCTACTTTCAGACATGGCCAATGTGGATATATCATGGTTGAGGATGAAGACAAGACGATGCTACTTTTGTGTTCGTTACCGGAGGATGATTATGGTACATTTGTTCTCACTATAATTAATGGGAGAATTACTATTAGTTATAAGAAGGTGACCTCAGCATTGGTAAATTATGAGTTGAGAAGAGTGATGGTGAACCCTCCGAGAAGGCATCGGGAGATGCATTAGCAGTTCGAGGCCGTGGTCCAAACCGTCGTCCAGGTGATCGCTCAAGATCGAAGTCAAGAGGTGGCCATAGAAATATTGGTAGGAATCAATGTCGCTTTTGCAAAGAAGAAGGACATTGGAAGAACGACTGCCCAAAGTTGAAAGATAAAGCCGGGAAGAATAAAAATGTTGTCAAGGCTAGTGACGACAATTTATATACGGATTCTTCAGGCTTTTCATGCTCAGCATTACAGTCAGTTTGTTACGCTGACTCTACGGAGTGGATGATGGATTCTAATGCTACATACCATATTTTCCCTAGGAGGGATTGGTTCTCCAGTTTACATACCATATTTGCCCTAGGAGGGATTGGTTCTCCAGCTTTGAGGAGTTGGAAAGAGGTGATGTCATGCTTATGGATAATGATCACGTATGCCCTATTGGGGGTATTGGTACAGTTCGAATCCGCATGTGTGACGCGGTGACTCGGGAGATGAAGGAAGTAAGGTTCGTGCCGTAGTTGACGAGGAACATTATTTCACTTGGAACTTTGGAAGCAGCTGGCTATCGGGTGATCTTGGAGAATGCAACTCTGAAGGTCACGAAGGGGTCCTTGGTGGTCATACGAGGTGTTAGGGAAAACAACCTATACTACTTGAAGGGCAAGACAGTTACAGGGGGTCTGACAGCTTCTATCACTACAGAGGAGGACACTACCAGTTTATGGCACATGCATGTAGGATACACTGGTGATAAGTCCATGCAAGCATTAGCGAAACAGGGGCTATTGAAAAGTTCGAAGACCTGCAAGATGGAGCTATGTGAGCACTGTGTACTTAGGAAGAAGACGAGAGTGAAGTTTGGCACCACTATTCACAATACCTAAGGTATATTGGACTACATTCACACAGACATTTGGGACCCTTCCAAGCATACACCACTTGGTGGGGCCAACTATTTTGTCACTTTCATTAACGATTATTCCAGGAGAAATTAGGTATACCCTATGAAGTATAAACATGAGGTCCTGGATATTTTTTTGGAGTGGAAAAAGAAAGTGGAGTTGCAGACAGGTAGAAATGTGAAGACTCTACATTCAGATAATGATAGAGAGTATAAAAGTGATCCGTTTTTACAGTTTTGTCGGGATCACGGTATTAGACGATACTTCACAGTTCGAGAGACATCACAACAGAACGGGGTGGCTGAGAGATTGAACCATACCTTGCTAGAGAAGATGTGATGTATGATGACAAAGAGTGTATTACCAAGATCCTTTTGGGCCGAGACATTGGTTTATGCGAGCCATCTCTTGAATAGGTTGCCGTGCACTGCGATACAGGGGAAGACTCCGTTGGAACGTTTATCTAGTTCGGTAGCTAGTGACTATGAGTCGCTTCGAATATTTGGGTGTCCTAGTTATTACCATGTCAGTAATGGTAAATTGAATCCTAGGGCAAAGAAAGCAGTCTTTGTGGGCTTTACAGAAAGAGTAAAAGGCTTCAAATTGTGGGATTCATTGGACAAAAAGATAGTTATTATCAGAGATGTTACATTCAACCAGGCGTACATGATGAGGCATCAAGTCCCTCAGCAGGTGGAGGGAGACCGACAAGAGGGATATCGTAGTAGGTGGAGGATGATGTGACTCCACCAACTCCAGATAGCATTGTATCTATTAAGGCTCCTACAAAGGTGACACAGGAAAAAGATGGTATAACATCCGGGCATTTATGGGATACAGTAAATGGTGAGACTCATGAGTTGGGTCATGTTCAGGAGTCTATTGTAGCAAACAGACCCAGAAATGTGATTCGTCGGCCATCTAGATATAATGATATCATGGTTGCATATGTCTTATTAGCAGAGGTCATTGATGATTTGGTTCCTTCTACATTCAAGGAGGCAGAGTCTAGCTCTAATTCGATCAGGTGGAGGGAAGCTATGGAGAAGGAGATGCGCTCTCTTCATAAGAACGACACACGGGAACTTACAAAGCTACCGAAGAGTAAGAAGGCCATTGGATGCAAGTGGGTGGATGCAAATAAAGTGGGATCTTCTATTGGGGACATTCAGTACAAAGCCAGATTGGTTACCAAGGGTTATGCACAGCTTGAGGACGTTGA